ACTAATAGATAATCATCCTAGATAAATATTCGATAAGTATATGTCTATAGCAACCCAAACCCCAAGCAAAAAGTAAAAATCAAGGATAATCACCAATAAATATTTATACCAGTAAATATACATAAAAACTCCAACAATTAAAGATTACAAAGAGAAGAGAAGAAAAGGAACCAAACATTTCTTGGTTTGTCAACACCAATCAATGAGAAATTCGACTCTGAATCATCCGATTGTAACCTCCAAATGTTGTTTCTAAGCCTCCCTCTACCAAAAAATGAAGGTGATGGTGTTGGGACTCAAAAATACTCAAACCATACCTAAAAAATTTGTTTGAAATCCTATTTATACACTTTGAAACCCGCAGATCCCGCTTAGCGCACACAGAGGGCGCTCAGCACACTGTGTTGTGTTGGAAAAAAATTAGCACGTGTTTTCGCCATAACTTGAAAACCGTAACTCTGATTTACGTCCGATTTGAAGCGTTGAAAAGATTGTTCAATAATATATCTAAAAAAATTTAAATATCAACCAAATTTATGATTTTTCTCATCCTTGTTTTGATCCTTATTTTTTGATGAATTGTCAAAAATTACATTCTTGAAGCTTAGCCTTTGGCCTTTATTTCTCAATACTCCAATTATGAATGAATACCTACAAAAGGGATGAAAAACTATCAAATAATACAATATTTACACAAAACTCAATTATTATATTATGTACCCAAACTAAACGTATTTACAAACAAAGCTGAGCTTATTCAAATGATATTAACAAAAAGTATCGATAAGTTCAACAAAACTTATACACAAAAATAGCTATAATTTGCATGTATCAGAAGGTGATGATGTTGATGATGAGTATACAAGTGATAACTATAAGTTGCGTGCCATGTTGTTTAGTATAATAAATGACTTTCCTGCATACGATAATTGATTTGGGTACATCGTCAAGGCTCATAAAGCGTCTCCTACATGTGAAGTTGATACATGTCACTACTAATTACCAAAAGGAAAAAAGACAGTTTATCATGGGCATCGAAGATTTCTAAGACCTAATCATTAGTATCGCAGATTGTGTAAGGCTTTTAATGGAGAGTAGAAGTTTGATATCACTCCAAAACCCTTAATTGGGAAGGAAGTTTATAGAAGATAACAATACATTAAAGTTGTCTTTAGAAAGAAACAAAAAAAGCCCGTGGAGAAAAATTCTTGGAAAAAGAGGTCGGTGTTCTTTGATTTTCCATACTGGTCCAGTTTTGATGTAAGACATTGTTTTGATGTGATGCACGTGAAGAAATATGTATGTGATAGTTTGATGGGAATACTTATCAACATTAAAGACAAGACAAAAGATACTAAGAAATCACACAAAGATATGGTTGTGATGGGTATGCGGAAAGAATTATCCCCAAAAGAAGTAGGAAATATAACCTATTTCCCCCCCGCATGTCACACTCTATCTAAAAAATAAAAAAGTTTTTGCGATTGTTTGCAGGGTATCAAAGTTCCCCAATGGTACTCATCAAATGAGAAGAAACTTGTTTCATAGAATGACAATACATTAATTGACAAAATCTCATGATTGTCATGTACTGATGCAACAACTTCTACCAGTGACTATCCGTGACATCTTACCAAGAATTGTAAGAGTGGCTATAACTAGATTGTGATTATTCTTCAATGCTATATGTAGTAAAGTTATAGATCTTAGAAATTTAAATGAGTTGGAACACGAAGCTGCAATTATCTTGTGCCAATTAGAGATGTTTTTCCCTCCATCATTATTTGACATTATGATTCACTTAGTCGTTCATCTAGCAAGGGAGGTTAGAACTTGTGGTCCAGTTTATTTGTGGTGCATGTATCCGGTAGAGCGTTACATGAAGATTTTCAAAGGGTATACAAAGAATCATCATCATTCAAAAGCTTCGATCGTAGAAAGGTATATAATAGAAGAAGCTCTTGAGTTTTGTACGAACTATTTGTCAGATGCAAACTTTATAGGAGTTCCCGAGTCTCGTCGTGATGGATTTTATGATGGTAGAAGTATTCAAGGTTTAAATGTCATAACATTTAGTCGACAAGTAGTTATTTAAGAATATTTGTATATATTGAATAACCTTAGTGAAGTTGATCCTTAATTGACCACACACAAAGCTCTTATAAAGAAAAAATACCCCCAGATGAATGGAAATGGTTTAATGAAAGTATTTCTAAAGAGTGTGGTGCATTAAATTATTGCAAATGGTTGTCACGTATGCCTAAGTTTAATTTAATTACTTGGATTGCATATGAAATTAGAAAATATTCGTTATATACAAAATCAAAATATGATCGTAGCAACATACAAAATAGTGGTGTTATGGTTGAGGCTGAATCCATGTACTTTTCTAGTTCCAAAGATAATAATCCAGTACTAGCATCTAGAGCGTACGTTGGGATCATTGAGGAAATTTTGGAGATTGACTATGTTTATTTTAAAGTGCCCTTATTTAAGTGCAGGTGGATTAACAGTAAAATTGGTGTAGAAATCGATGAATTAGGATTCACAAAGGCTTAATCTTCGAAAGACAAATTACAAGAATAAACCATTCATCATGGCAAACCATGCAAAACAAGTTTTTTATGTCACTGACTCATCTAACACAAGATGATAAATTGTTCTTCAAGGAAAACATCTTCTCGATAGTACTAATGAAAATCAAGATTTTAACTATGAGACTCCTTGTTAAGCAACACATGTACGTCAATCATCTAAAGAAAATGATTTAGATGATGTGCATGCTATTCTCCGTGATCATGAAGACGACATATGGGAAACTAGTAAGTAAATGGTTTATTACTTTTGTTTCTTAATTATTTGTTTTAATTTTGATGTAAAATTATAAAATGTGTGCCATTTTGGGTTTACATTTTGTGTAATCAATGAATATTTCTATTTTAGATTGAGGAATTGGCAAAATGTATAATGTCTCTGTTTCAGAAATATGTAAAATATGGTTATGTATTCTGTAATATAGTTCTATAATTCAGGTGAAGACGACAGTAGAAAAAATTAAATCTTAATCCCTGGGTTTCCAAAATAATTTGAGGTAAGAATATTGATTTATTACCTCGGTTCTTCAAAACACCGAGTGTTAATATTGGACGCGCCATTCAATTATGAAAATAATAAAAATGTTGATGCTGGGAATCGAACCCACGTGCAATTAACTTCACTCCTCGGTGTTTTAATATCTGAGATGATAAGGAGTAACTTTTATGACGACCTACTTTACCTCGTTTCCATTACCGATATCAAACGCATTTTGCATCTGACGTTAGATGTGTTTTTTGTAGTGGTCATCTCAAATTGTTTTCTCAAAGTCTGCAACTTCACCCTTTTTAGTTTTTCATCTCCTTTGTACAAGTTCTTTAACTTGTCACATGCTCCTTTATATGTTTCCTCTTCTATTATCTTCTCGAACACGTTAGAATCCACACACTGGTGAATCAAGAACAAAATTTTTCCATCTTTCTTCCTTTGATCCATGTGCGCAAATTTTTGAACATCATCAACATTCACTTTCAATGTCGATATTCCATCATTCACTATTTCAACCACATCTTAAAATCCGAAGATGACTTTTACTTGTGCAACCCACCTCTGATTGTTCTCATCTTTGAACACATGTAGATTTACTAGAAATTGCATTGATGTTGTGTTTCTGTTTTTCATTACAGATTCTCTCTAAATTGCTATTGGACTCCTTAATACCAACTTGTTGGGACAAAATGATTTTTAAGAAAGATGAGAGAAGAAGAGTAAGAGAGAAAACGAGAGAGAAACAAAATTGTAAAATTAGGATTTGTATTGAGTGAAGTTGTTATTGTTTACATCATGCAATGCTCTTTATATAGGCAATTAAAGCCCATACCTAAAACTTATAACCCAAAATACAAAATCTAAAATACTAAGTACATAATGCAACTATATTATCTACATTTATTTCGACTCACTATTTCAACATAGCAACTAAATATTGTATTCTAATCTATCGAATACAACTAACCTACTCAGCATAGTTCGATTAGGTCTAACACGCCATAGTCGAACAAAATATTAAATTATAATTTCTAACAATGAACACTCCTTATTCACTCACTTAATCTCAACAATCTTTTCTAGCCTAAATCAATAGCCTAAATCCATAGGAGTATTTCACTTTCGTTCCTCCATTCAGTCTAACCATGAGTCTGATATGGTTTGTTGGAAAGTTCGAGGATTGCTAAAAGTGCCAATGAATTAAAAGTTCAAGATTCAAGAGACTTTGATACCACATATTCACCCAAAATTTCCGGAGACAATAAAAATATGAGTGACCTCTCTTATATACCGTACATTTCCTTCATTTTTAGTTGATTGTGTTGAATCTTAACAATAATCCTTAGTAACTAGCTAGGTAAAAAAATCTCAAAATGACATGTATTAAAGTATAACATAATACTTTATTTATTTTATTAATGGTGATTTTAGCACCCAAGGTGTTTTTAACGTAGTAGCAGCAAGCATTAGCACCGATAGTAGGAATAGCGAGCCAAAGACCGAATGGAATGAGATTTGATTAAAAGTCATAGGTTTATGAATGGAAAGTTAGATTTGGACTGTTTGGTAATACTGACAGATAAACCAGAATTTATCTCTTGATCAAATTATGAAATCATAAGCATGATGATGATGACATGCAAAGGTAGAAAAACTAAGGCGAAGATGGAAACAACAAAACACTTTACAACACTTGAAATTTCACTTTACACTATTTCTTGTGATCCACAAGCCATTTATACATGTGATTAAGTTCAAACTGATTCGTTGCGTATTGTAACAAGTGACTGTGTCTGAGCTTCATAGTGAGGTTGTATCTTTCCTTTTCTCAACGATACAACATAACTCATTTGGGCTATTAAGCCAAAGCCAGATAGTGTAAAAAAGAGAGTAAGAAACGGAAATTTGATAGCAAAATGGCGAAGTTGGTTCTGAAAGCTGGAAGCAGGCCTCCGTGGGTGGGACTAGCAGCTGCAGTTTGGATTCAAATAGCTGCTGGTAATGCATACAACTTCCCTCTCTACTCATCTGCTCTGAAATCTGTGTTGGGTCTAAATCAACAACAAGTGACTATTCTTGGAGTGGCAAATGATGTTGGAGAGAATTTGAGTTTGTTTCCTGGTATTGCCTGCAACAAGTTCCCTCCTTGGGCTTTGCTTCTTGTTGGTTCTGTCCTTTGTTTCTTTGGTTATGGTCTTATCTGGCTTGCTGTTACCCAAACTGTTTCCAACTTGCCCTATCTTCTGGTAACTACATGCTTTCTAGTTTCTATGTTACATGCATGAGTTTAAAATTAACTTGGTTCTCTTGACTCTGCAGTTATGGCTTGCACTTTGCGTTGCCACGAACAGCAACGCATGGTTTGGGACAGCCGTGCTTGTAACCAACATGAGAAACTTTCCTCTCAGTAGAGGCACAATCTCTGGCATTCTCAAAGGTTATGTAGGGATTAGTGCGTCAGTATATACATTAATATATAGCATTTTGCTAAATGGTTCTGCTTCTAAATTACTCTTGTTTCTAGCTATTGGAGTTTCTACTGTGTGTTTAGTTTTGATGTACTTCATTAGGCCGTGTACTCCTCCTTCTGGTGAAGACTCTTCTGTTCATGTCCATTTTATTTTTACACAAGCTTCAAGTATTTTACTTGCTACATATCTAGTTATAACTACAATACTAAGCGACACCGTTTCATTTATTGATTCTGTTTCCTACATCTTAGTTTCCATAATGATTATACTTATGATAACTCCTCTTGCAATTCCTTTGAAAATGACTCTATTTCCTGCAACACCAAAAAGCAATGTTCTTATGGTTGATTCTCCTGATGTTTCAACACAAACAAGTCCGTTGATTGCGTCTTCATCCACTTCGGTTGCATATGTTGGAAGTTTTTATGAAAATGAGGATGCTTCTTCGGATGTTGAGATACTAATTGCAGAAGGGGAAGGGGCAGTGAGGAAGAAAAGGAGACCGAAAAGAGGAGATGATTTTAAGTTCAAAGAAGCTATACTCAAGGCTGATTTCTGGCTACTTTGGTTTGCTTACTCTTTAGGCGTTGGCTCGGGAATAACTGTTCTCAATAATTTGGCTCAAATTGGAATTTCTTTGGGTGTAGAAGATACCACCACATTGCTTTCGGTCTTCAGTTTTTGCAATTTTATTGGTCGTCTCGGTGCTGGTGCTGTCTCTGAACACTTTGTTAGGTACTTTTTTCATTTATGAACTGAATGATGTTAGCTTCTTACTACAATTCGAATTATCTTATACTTGGCGTGCGCATATATTGACGAGGTTATCATCATGACAGGTTGAAAACACTGCCTAGAACATTTTGGATGTCAATTACACAAGTCATTATGATCATAGGATTTTTGCTTTATGCTTCAGCTCTAGATGGAACTCTTTATGCTGCAACCGCTTTACTTGGAATGTGCTATGGAGTTCAGTATTCTATAATGGTTGCAACAGTTTCTGAGCTATTTGGTTTGAAGCATTTTGGTGTAATTAGCAGTTTCATGATGCTAGGAAATCCAATTGGTGCACTTCTTTTTTCTGTTTTCCTTGCGGCAAATTTGTATGATACAGAAGCTTCAAAACAAGGAAACTCTACTTGCTATGGTGCAAATTGCTTCCGAATCACTTTTCTGGTTTTGGCTTGTGTATGTGGAATTGGTACCATTTTGAGTATAATTTTGACAGTTAGAATAAGACCGGTATATCAAATGCTGTACGCAAGCGGTTCGTTTCGTCTATCCCGTACTTCAAATCAATGAGATTGGACAAAATTGTCTGCCAGTTACAAATCTCACCAAATTTATGCTGCCACTATTCAATGACCATGCAGTTACTACAATATTTATCAGGTGTAAAGTATGTGAAACAATAAATTTTTTGTTCTTTTTGTGACTGTAAAGTATGTGATCGAGAGTTTATCAGGTGTAGAATAATGAATTTACCGATATTTATAAAGCAGTTTATGGTTTGTATTTGTCATAGTATGATGGATATCCATGCTGTAATTAACTGAACTTGCCAAAGTACTCATATGTAATCATTATTCACATGTTCATTGGAGGTGTTTGTATAGAATGCCCCAAATAAGTTTTGGACTGATCCACATTGGACCAATTCCTCTTTCCTTGCTTGTTCTGTAGCGTTTAATTTAGTTATTAAATTTTACTTTTCTTCGGTTGCAAACAACAAATAAAAACAAAACAGGTATGTATCTTCGTAACACAAACACTTTGATTGCAGGCGGATCTGGTGTCTGATATTAGTATAAAATTAACTGTTGGAACAAAGGGTTTTCAAGAAAGATGATTTATGAAAGAGAAGAAGAAGAAGAAGAGAGAATTTAAGTATTGTTATGATTTTAACTAAATTGTAAAATCTGTTATTGAATACATACAAACTCAACAACCCTTTATATAGGCAAACAATACCCAAACCTAATTAGACAAAACACGCTAAAGCTCAAAACATGATTTCGACATACTACAATATCTGTTGTATTCGACTCTGTCGAATACAGCTTATAACCTATGCAATAAACTATTCGACATACACCACACATGCATTTCGATAGAACAAGAATTATACTTCTAACACACCTCCTAATTCATGTTCTTGAGACTTCTCATCATGATGCTTCTCTTTAACTCGTGGAATCTAACTTTCTTCAGAAATTTGGTAAATATGTCAGCTAATTGAACTTAAGTCTTGCAATGCTTTATCTCCAGCTTCCCTTTGTTGACTTGATCCCTCATAAAATGATATCTTCTTTCTATGTGCTTACTTCGACCATGACACACTGAGTGATTCACCAGGTTAATAGCTGACTTGTTGTCGACAAACAACTTCATCTTCTTAGGTTCCATTATCCTGAGTTCTTCAAGTAACATTTCGATCCATGCTGCTTGGCATGCAACATATGATGCAGCCACATATTCTGCTTCGCATGATGACAAAGCCACAGTGCTTTGCTTCCTAGAACTCTAAGAGATTGGAGTACCTTCGATCATGAAAATGTAGCCTCAAGTACTTTTCTTTTCGTCTTGATCTCCATTGAAATCTGAGTCAGTGTATCCATGAACTTCGACATCTATGTTGTTCTTCGACTTCTTTGGTAACAACACACCATGATCAATTGTTCCCTTTATATATCTCAACACCCTCTTTACTGCGATCAGATGACATTCTTGTGGTTTCTCCATAAATCTACTTAACAATCCTACACTTTGGCAGATATCTGATCTAGTATTGTAAATATATCTCAAGGATCCAATGATTTGTTTGTAAAGAGTCGAACTTACAAACTCATCATTCGTTTTCTTTTTCAACTTTGCTCCAATTTCTAACGGAGTGGAAACTTCATTACAGTTTCTCATTTTAAACCTCTTCAAAATATATTGAGCATACTTTGTTTGATGCAAGAATACTCTTTATTTAGTATCTTTGAATTACATCCCTAGGAAATATGAGAGATTCCCTAAGTCGGACATTTCAAATTCCTGAATTAATTTCGAATTTACCTTCATTATCTCAGCTTCGTTTGCTCCTGTAATGAGTAAGTCATCAACATAGAGACATAAAATGATTCGACTGACACTGTTGATATCATTTACATACACTTCATGTTCAGAGACGAGCTTTGTGAAACCTGCTTCGTTCAGGAAGCTATCTATCCTCTTATTCCAAGCTCTAGGAGCTTTCTTCAAACCATAGAGAGTCTTCCTTAATCTATATACCTTCGACTCCTGCCCTTTGACGTCGAATCCTGGTGGTTGAGTAACATAGACTTCTTCTTCCAATGGACCATTAAAAATGTTGACTTTACATCCAACTGATGCATCTTTCATCCTCTATATGCTGCTGTTGAAACAAAAATTCTGATTGTTTCTAACCTTGCAACAGGTACACATACTTCATCGAAGTCAATACCAGATTCTTGTAGAAAACCTCTCACCACCAATCTTGCTTTATACTTCGTAATCTCACCATTTGGCCTTTGTTTCACCTTGTAAATCGACTTTACATCGATTGGTTTCTTGTTGGTTCTTTCGACAAACTCCCAGGTCTTGTTCTTCTCAATAGCTCTGAGTTCTTATTTCATGGCTTCACACCAATTCAAATTGCTCATGGCTTCACCCAAATCAATTGGTTCTGCTTCAGCCATCTTCATGGCTTCTTCGATTAAGTCACCATCTACATAAACTGCTTGACCTGGAAACCTTTCATATCTAGTTAGCCTGGCCAACTCAGTTCTTATTCTTATCGACCTTCTTTCATTTTGCACATGTGGTTCTTTATTTTGACTGGTTGAAGCATCACCTTGTTCATTTCGACTCATTGAAGATTCATTATGTTCATATTCTTCGAACACAGTTGTAACTGTATCTGATTCTTGTCAAACTGAACTTTGACTCCAGTCTCATCCTTTGCTTTCATCTACAAGAACATCTCGATTGATCACTAGTTTATCTTTGTTTGGTGAATACAACTTGTATGAACCAGTCGAATGATAACCTATGAGCACCATGACTTCACTTCGATCATCCAACTTCTTTCTCAATTATTCAGGTACATGCCTGAAGCACATTGATCCAAAAACTCTAAGATAACTCACATTTGGCTTCGACCCTGTCCAAGCCTTATGCGGTGTCTTTTCGACCATCTTCTTTGTTGGGCATCTATTTAGAATATATATTGTTGTCGAAGCTGCTTCAGCCCAAAATCTCTTAAGCATATCTTTAGCTTTCAACATACTTCTCGTTATATTCAGTATACTTCTATTCTTTCTCTCAGCTATGCCATTATGCTGAGACGTATATGGTGCAATAACCTCATGATTTATACCTTCCTCGTTGCAAAATCTAGCAGATTCAGCAGAAGTATATTCACCACCACCATCAATTCTTAACTTCTTCAATTTGCAGCCACTTTATTTCTCAACATGCAACTTGAATTTCTTGAACTGAGTGAATACCTCACTCTTTCTTTCAATAAGGTAAATCAACATATGTCTGGTGAGTTCATCAATGAAAGTAAGGAAATACGTGTTACCTCCATTTGACTTTACTTCAAAGGATCCACACACATCAGAATGAACCAGCTCTAGTTTTTGTTTGATTTCACGGGAAAGTCATGTTTGAATGCCTTCCTAGTCTATTTTTCTTTGCATCATTCCTCGCATACCTGCTTTGGTTCCTTTACATACGGCAACCCAAACACCATCCTTTTCTGATTGAGCATGCATAAACTTCTGAAGTTTAGATGTCTATACCTGTGATGCCATAGCCAGTTTTTGTCTTCTTCTGTAGTTGAAGCAAGACATTTGTGATCTGATGTGTTGAGTTCAATTTTGGATGTTTTTTCTCCGCTAATGGTGCTTTCATTATTTGCCTCCCATCAGCCCTATATACCTTCATCTGATTTTTCTTCAACTTCATATTGAAGTCTTTTGCAAGTAATTGACCTACACTTATCAAATTACTTGTCATAGAAGGTACATACAACACTTCAGTGATAATAGCTTTTCGATCATCCTTCCTGACAATCGAAATATCTCTTTTACCACCTGATTTAATGTGCCTACCATCTGCAAACTTTATGACCTTTTCGACTGACTCATCTAACTTGGTAAACCATTTTTTATTACCAGTCATGTGGTTGCTGCATCCTGAATCCAGATACCACATGTTGTTTTTCTCAGTGTTTGAATGAGTGTTCATCATCAACAACACATTATCAGAATCACTAGCTCCAGCTCGTGCATATTGAGCTTCATTACTATCTTTCGCCCTCACAACTTTCTTTCTTCGACAATCTCTAGCATAGTGACCAAAACCTTGACAATTGTAACATTGCACCTCTTTCGTGTCAACTTTCTTCTCAGAATACTTGTTGCCCACATTTTTCTTGATCGAATCAATATTCTTGCTTGACTTAGAATTTTCTTTTCCAGTTTTCTTGCTGAATCTTGATTGCAATGTCTGTTCAACCACCTTCTCTCTTTTTGAGTTTCTCTGCTTCAACCTCATTTCATGAGCCTCCAATGAAGCTTGAAGTTCTTCCAACTTTATCTCAGATAGAGTCCTGGCCTCTTCAATTGTCACAACAATGTAGTTAAAATCTACAGTCAAAGATCTCAACACCTTTTTTATCTTCTACAGATCCGTAAGTGATTCACCATATGCCTTCATTTGGTTTGTTAGCGTCACAATTCTTGAAAAATATGCATCAATTGATTCATCTTCTTTCATTTGAAGCATTTGGTATTGCTTCCTTAGCATTTGCAACTTCATCTTCTTCAATTTCCCATCTCCACCATACAAGTTATTTAGTTTTTTTCAAGCTCCTTTTGTTGTTTATTCTTCCATTATCTTCTCAAATACATCAGAATCCACACACGGGTGAATCAAGAGCTTTGTTTTACCACATTTCTTCCTCTGATCTTTGTGCATAATTTTTTGGGCTTCCGTCGCATTTGCTTCCAGTTCTAATACTCCATCATTCAAGATTTCAACATCTCAAAATCTGAAAATAACCTTCATCTGCGCAATCCACCGCTGATAGTTTTCACCTTTGAAAATCGATAGATTCGCTGAAAACTGTGTTAACGTTGTTGTTCCGTTTGCCATTAGATTCTCTCTGACTTGCAACCAACTCGAATGTCAATTTATTAGAACAAAGGGTTTTCAAGAAAGATGATTTATGAAAGAAAAGAAGAAGAAGAGAGAATTTAAGTATTGTTATGATTTTAACTGAATTGTAAAATCTGTTATTAAATACACACTTGATTACAAACTCAACAACTCTTTATATAGGCAAACAATGTTCGGACCCAATTAGACAAAGCACGCTAAAACCCAAAATATGATTTCGACATACTACAATATCTATTATATTTGACTCTGACGAATACAGCTTATAACCTATACAATAAATTATTCAACATACACCACACATACATTTCGACAAAACAAAAATATACTTCTAACACTAACACTTGTGATTACCTTCAATTAAGTTATGTTTTCAATTTATTATTGATATTGACATATAAGTGTTAGTGGTGTGTGCAGCTTAAATAACTAGACATCACGCTTTCAATATATTGCTCCAAAGGTTCTTTCTTGATAAATGAAGTAAACATAACAATTTGATGATTTAGAGAGAAGGCTTAATTATTCTATGACAAGAAACACCGAGATAACATCAAATATCAAATAAACTGTGTAAATATGTAATGTCACTACATCTGACATAGTACAAGGCATAAGCTCAAGCAAACTCTAATCCAACTCAAATTATATCCTTTTTGCTGCAAAATCTTATTCAACCAACTTAACTGCTAAACCATTGGATTAATCAAATGGCTGAGAATCAGATAAATAAATACGAAGACCGGAGTTTATGAATAAAGTTTTGCTGGAGGGGCTGCAGAGGATTTCGTATGAATCGGAAATCTCTCTTGAGTGCAGCACCCAACAAACAGAAACCACAAAAGAAGAAAGTGTAAGAGAGTGAAGAGAGACAAAGAGAATGATAAAAAGTAAGAGAGGGATAGAGATAGCCAAGAGGATCTACGTCTACACAACATCACTACTTTAACTGTACAGGAGATGATCCAAATCCGGAGAAACTTTTAGTTTGGCTTTAGATCCTTAAACATGGTATCCCACTTAATCTCTTCAACAGCTGCAGACCAATATCCATCACCACCAACACCACCACCATCGCCACCGCCATCGACCCTTTGCTCCTTTTGGCAATGATGCACAACAGGACTAGCAAAACCACCAAGATCACCAGACAAATCAGGAACAGGAACTATACCGTTTGTCAGAAAAAGTTTCTCTTGTTTAGCCACCACAAACTTTTTGTTCCTCTTCATAATAACACTCTTCCATCTTCTCCCAAATCCACCACTAGACCTTGTTGTTGGCACCACCACAAGTGCTGATTCTTCAGTATGAGTCAAACTCCTAACATACTTTTTGATTGCAGCCACAAACTTTGCAACTGTGTGTGGGAACTTTCTCTTGTCTTTTTTAGCAAGCTTAAGAATTTCTAGTCTATGTTTGGCTATACAGATTCCCATGCTTTGCAGAAACTCATGGTTGAAGTAAAACATGTCTTCTTCTTCAAGCTCGTTGTGAGCTAAGATAACTCCATACTCGTATACAAGAGATGGTTCAAGGCTTGTTTTTGAAAGCCATGAAAACCAATCCATACCTGCAACTGAGTTAAAGAAAATATTTGTGTGAACTTTGATATTTTGTTTCACTTCAAATACTATATAGTATAGTATTATGAATGCAGAGAATCTAGATCTAAAGCGTGAATATAAAAATTGTAAGATTGCACGGTGAATAATAAGTTACACATTCTGTATAGTTTCTGTCGTATTGGTTCGGACTGAGAGACTAAACCAAAAGCAAAGAGATGTGTAGAAAGTAACATGGGATGTAACATGAATTTCTTCCAAAATGTGATGAGAATTATTTGGGGACAAGGTCAATTAAATGAGGAATCTTTGTGGAAACCTACCACTCGTTTGGTGTATGTAGTAGTTAAGAGGAAAATGAGTTTTTAAATTTGATATTTTTATTCAGCCATTCCTACAAAACTTTAATATATATTGTGATTGAGACATGGGTTGAAGTGAATGCTAGGCAATCTGAATTTATTTGACTAGTATGTTCTTCCATTATTTGAAACATGGGTCCTCTGTTATTCAATATGAAAGATTGTGGAGAAATAACATTGATTATTGGAATCAAGATTACTAAATCTAAGAAGGATATATCTTTGAATCAATCTTATTATATGGAGAAGATTTTTAAGAAATATAATTACTTTGATCGTAAATCTGCTTCCACACCATATGACTCAAGTGTAAAATTATTTAAGAACACTTGTGACAATGTTAAATAAATTAAGTATGTGAGCATCATTGACAGTTTTAGGCTCGCCGGTAATAATACTAGACCCAACATTGTCTATGTAAGGGGATTGTTGTGCATGTTTACTAGTTAACCGGATAATGAACATTAGCATGTTATTGAGAGAGTCATGTGATACTTCAAAAGAAAGAAACATGTGTTAAATATGTAATTCTTTGTGTCAAGCATTATTGTAAGTTTGACATAGTCAAAGTAGTGTGCATATTTTTTTCTTTCTGATCAAGCCTGGCCACGACCATTAATTGTGCACATTTTTTTCTTTCTGATCAAACTGTTAGAACAAGATTTGATTATGCAATACAATCTTTAGTTTTGATGATAACAATGCATATATTTTATATATAACAATTTTGTACTCTAATAATTTTCCTTAGTGTGTAAATATAGAACTTCACTTGATTTTGAAAATATCATTAGAATCATTTCTGGTGCGCCTCAAGAGTACTACCACTTTCGCCTCTCGAGAAACATTAGCAGGCCTGATGAATGTTGAATACCTCTAAAAAGGGGGTCTTGTGTGCTTCTCAGATAAGTTTTTCTTCCAACTCTGAAGTCAAGGCTCTGGACTCTATAGACTTGTCTATTATCTGCTGATAATCAAACCTCTGGTTCTGTTAGAAGTATTCTAAAGAAAGACTTGAGTGAAGACAACCTTTGACTTTGAAGACTCTGATACTTCTTGGTACACTCATCTAACGTGATGTCTTCTGGATCCATCATCACTTCACATTAGAAGTATTTCTTCAGAAGATAAAGACCAAGACAACTTGTATTGTAACCATTTGAACAACAATATAATTCCAATTTGGTAAAAACTGATTGTGCACCAAATTTGTTAAGGAATATTTTTGAGACATTACTACTCCTGTCTCCCATGATTCTCAGATTAACGTTATGGCAGTTGGTACTGAAAGTGACGTCTAACGTTCTATCTTGAGCCTATATAAAGGAGTCATTATTTTATTGCAAGACACCAATAACTACAAGTGTGAAAACATTACAAAATACTACCAAGAAAAAAAATTTCAAAACACAGAATTATTGCTCATATTTGTGTAAACAATTATTCTTAGTTTTGTTTAAATTTGCTTATCAAGAAGCACTGCTGTAAACACGTTCCATTGTAATTCTTTTGAAACTATTTCTTTCTTCAAGTGACTAAGTGTTAGTCTGTATATTTGAGAGGGATAAGGTGTTTTCTAACACTTATACGATCTTTTGTAATCTTTCAAGATTAGTGGATTAAGTCCTTTTTGAAGGCGAAATCGCCTTGGTAGGGTGGACAAGACGTAGCTTCGTTATAGGAGAGCTTGTATAAATCGATTGTGTCAATTTTCTTTCTTAGTTTGTCTATCTAAACTATTTGTGTAAAATAATTTATCAAAAAAGTTTTTTGAAAATCCAATTCAAATCCCCTTTCGTGTGTTTTTCTCCACCTTTAATTGGTATAAGAGCTTCGACTTTGTTATTGATTTTTCAATCAAACACTTAACCATGTAGAGAGATCAAGTGTGAGAAAAACATTTTATGACTAACATAAACGAAAATGATAGTTACAATGCTAAGCCTTTCATCTTTGACGGAGAAAAATTTGACTACTGGAAAGATAAAATAGAAAGTTTCTTTCTAGGCTATGATGCAGATCTCTGGAATCTTGTCACATATGGCGAAGTACCTACTAATGCGATTGGTATTCTCATTCCCAAAAACATAATGAATAATGATCAAAAGGGCCAGTTCAAGAATCTCCACAAATCCAGAACTATTCTCCTCAGCGCTATCTCTTATAATGAATATGAAAAGATCACTAATAGAGAAATAAAAAAGGATATTTTTGACTCGTTGAGAATGACACAGGAAGGCAATACTCAAGTCAAGGAAACTAAGACTCTGGCCTTAATCCAGAAATATGAAGCCTTCAAGATGGAAGACGAAGAAACTGTTGAGACTTTGTTCTCAAGGTTTCAAACCTTGGTAGCAGGACTTAAGGTTCTGGAAAAAGGTTACACCACAACAGATCATGTCAAAAAGATCATAAGAAACCTTCCTAAAAGATAGAGACCAATGGTTACTGAATTAAATCTATCAAAGGATCTGAACAACATAGTCCTTGAAGAGTTGGTTAGTTCACTCAGAAGTCACGAAATAGAGTTGGAGGAAGATGAGCCCCAGAAAAGAATAAATTTATTGCTCTAAGATCCAAATCAAAAAGAGCCAAGTCAGAAAAGAACAAAGTCTTCCAAGATGAGAAAGAAGAAGCAGAAGATTCTGAAGATAAAGATTTTGATGACGAAGATGAATTGTCCCTTCTCTCCAGAAGAGTCAAGCAATCCTGTAAGAAAAGACAAAACATCTTCCGAAGGTCTGGAAATAAAGGAGATCGTCCAAATTCATCCTCAAGAGGAAAAGCAAGCAAGGAAGTAACCTGCAACATATGCTAGGAGTCTATACACTACATAAATGTATGTTCAAAGCTTAAGAAAGATAGCTTAAGAAAAGAAGGTTTCAAGAAAAATGCTTTCAAGGGAAAGAAGAAAGGTCTCATGGCAACATGGGATGACTCTGACTCTGAAACATCAGAATGAGATTCTGAAGAGGAGCATGCCAACGTAGCATTTATGGCTACCACTTCTGAAGGAAACACATCTGAAGCATAGTATGACTCATAAGATGTATTTTCTAAACTTTATTGTGTTGATTTAGAATTATGCCTATCTGAATCTCTGAATAGGTATAAGAAACTTCAACAAAAATTCAAGAACCTGAAAAAGGTTCATGAATATAAAGTTAAAGAATGTAGTAAGCTAGAGAAAGAAGTTTGAGTAAAAAAACAATTTATTTTAGAAAAAGAAAATGCTTTTCTGAACAAAAAATATTTAAAACTAGAAGAAACTCTTTCTAAAGCCCCTTTATCTTCTGAAACCATATTATACAAATATGATAAGGCATTTAAGAAATTCTTGAATAATAGCATAGATAGAAGTATAATGACTTCCAAGATCTATGGTGTTAGTCAAAATGGTAACATAGGAATTTGTTATGATTCTGATGATGATGATATGATTCCACCTCAAGAAAACAAATCCAAATCTCCTTTCTATTATCACTACACACCATAACAGACACAAAAATTTGATGTTGCACGAAAACCTACGTTGGTCGGAAACTCTAGGAAAACTAATTCAAAAGGACCCAAAATACTTTTGGTACCAAAAGATAAAATAGTATATGTTGCAGATATCCTATGCAGCAGAGTTAATACACCAGTCATGGTACCTGGACTCTTGATGCTCGTGTTACATGACGGGAAGAAAACATATGTTCCAAAACCTGTAACTTAAAGATGCTAGGTATGTAGGTTTCAGAGGAAACCAAAAAGGAAGTATCAAAGGATCTGGAACAGTAGGTAATGAATCTCTTTCTACTATATCTAATGTACTTTATATTAAGGCTTTAATGCATAATATGTTATCCATAAGTCAATTAAGACATAACGGTTATGACATTATTTTTAATCAAAAAACGTGTAAGGTTGTAAGTCAAAAAGATGACAAAGTTCTCTTCACTGGAAAGAGGAAAAACAACATTTACAAAATAAAGCTTTATGATCTTAAAAAACAAGATGTAAAATGCTTAATGTATATTAACAAAGAGAAGTGGGTAAGGCATAAACGGTTGGGTCACATTAGTATTAAAAAGATATCCGAGCTAAATAAGCTTGAGTTAGTCAGAGGCCTGTCTAAGCTGAAGTTTACTTCAGATGCTCTCTGTGAAGCATATCAGAAAGACAAGTTTTCTAAAACCTTTTTCAAAACAAAAAAAATGTTGTTTCCACCTCTAGATTTTTGGAGCTTCTACATATTGACATGTTTGGTCCAATAAAAACAGCATCAGTCAATGGTAAGAAGTATGAACTCGTTATCATAAATGATTGTAGTTGTTGGACATGGATAAAATTTCTAAAGCACAAGAATGAGTCACTTTATGTCAAATTGCAACACAATTACAAACCAATTTATAACTAATGTGTGAAAGAGTTTTTAAATAGGGTTAAAATGACTAATTGCAACACAATCACAAACCAATTTAAAACTAATGTAAAAAATTTATGAATGATATGATGAAGAGAAGGAAGAAGCAACTTTGTACAAGAAAATGATTGAATTATTGAGGTACTTATTTTTCGCGAAAGGAAAAATATTTGAGACATGCTCGAAATAAATAAAGTCTCCACCAATATTTATTTAAAAGAGAGAATATTGATAAAATCCTTAAAAAACAAAAAGATGATTTTTGCAAACAAATTTAGATTCGCGAGTTGGTTATGCGTAGGGAAGGTTTATACATCCCCAACATCAGTTTATTATATTAATTTTCTCCTAATCATCGAACAAGAAATAAAGCGTATTTACAATGAAAGGGGAATATTTTTTTATTGTGTTTGACAAGACTTGATTCTTGCTCTAACATATCTCGTGGTGCGATTGAGAATTCAAAACTACACAGTTC